TCTACCTTGAGTTTGGTGATGTCTTGGGGAATGATTGGAATAGAAGGAAAGGTGTACAGCAGAGTTGACTGCCAGCTGCAGTGGAAAGCATTGGAGAGGGAGCCCAAACTAAGTCCACTTCTTCTCCCCCAAAAGCAGAATAGGAACACTTCCTGTTTTCCCTCATTGCAACTAGGTCGATCCTGGGGATGCCCTACATTGCAAAGACAATCCAAAGGACATATGCCTTTAGGGACCATTCATGGCTCAGGGAGAAAATCTTGCTGAGATGGTCCACAAGATGATTCTGCACTCCTGCTAAATGGACAGTTACTGGCGTGATATCCTCTTTGATGCAGAACTGCCACAGGTTGAAACCATTCCCCCAGTGTTCCTCCACCACTCCCAATGTCAGCACAGAGCTGACTTGCTCAATGAGCAGTGTCTTGTGAGAGGAGTCCCTGCAGAGGGACGGGGGAGAGGTGTTCATGGGGCATGGAGAGGAATTGGATGGCATTGCCCAATCTGACAGTGTTTAGGACTCAGTGTCGGAGGTGATCAAGACCCAGGCATTGTAACAACTGGCCAGCCTATCCCCCAAGGAATGGGGGGGGGGGATGACGAGGGCAGAACAACAACTAGAACAGGACCAAGGAGTCAAAATGGGCACTTAACAAGCACCAGAGATGGGCTAGCAAATCAGCCAATCTCTGAGCTCGAGCGTTTCCCCTTGTGAGATCTATCCCTTTTCCTGGGATAGTCTCGCTGTCTCGGGGGAAAGAGCTGCACACAGGGATGCTGCTGCTGCACCCTGTAGTGGAGTCTTTGCATAGGCGGCATGTACACCTCGAAGGCAGCCCTGGAATCCTTAAAGGAATGCAGTGTGTCATCTGTCTTTTCTGAGAACAAGGTTCTGCCATCAAAAGGCAAGTCCTCAATAGCTTGCTGGACATCCAGTGCAATGCCAGAGTTTTGCAGCTAGAAAGCCCTCCTCATAGTAACTGCAGGCCATCACACTGGCCAAAGTGTCCACAACGTCAATGGTGGACTGCAGTGACATCTTGGCCACCAAGCAGCCCTTGGCAACAAAGGCCTGAAACTCCCCACAGGAGGCCTTGGGCAACTGGTCCACAAACTTGGACATAGCTGACCAATTGAGAAAGTCATATTTGGACAGCAAAGCTTGCTGATTCATGATCCTGTAATGACAATGAAGCATTGACCTTTCTACCCAAAAGGTCCAGCCGCTTACAGTCTCTGTCCTTGGGTATGGGTGTGGGTCTGTCCTGTCGAGCTCTGTCATTAGTATTATCCAGACCAGTGGTTCTCAAACTTTAGCAACACGAGGACCCCCATTTTGATTTAAAAATTTTCAGGGACCCACAAGCTCCTCCACTAAGCCCTTGCCCTGCCCCCTCCAAGGCCACACCCCTGCCCTACCCCTTCTCTGAGGCCACGCCCCCAGTTCACTCCTCCCTCCATTGCTCAATCTCTCCCACACTAACTCACCTTCACCAGGCTGGGGCAGGGGGTTGGGGTGCAGGAGGTGGTGTGAGCTCTGGGAAGGAGTTTGGGTGCGGGCTCTGGGCTGGGGCAGGGGTGCAGGAGAGGGTGTGGGCTCCAGCCGGGTGGCACTTATCTTGGGCGGCTCCCGAAAGCGACCGGCACATCCCTCTGGCAGTGGCTCCTAGGGGAGGGGGTCTCTGCTCACTGCTCCTGCCCACAGGCACCGCCCCCGCAGCTCCTATTGGCTGCATTTCCCGGACAATGGGAGGTGTGGAGTCAGGGCAGGGGCAGCACGTGGAGACCTGCTACCCCTCCTCCCCCCAGGGGCCGCAGGGACATTCCATCCACTTCCAGGAGCAGCACTGAGCCAGGGAAGGTAGCCCTGCCTTAACCCCGCTGCGCCGCCGGATTTTTAGCATGCAGGAGGCGCTGGGAGGGAGGGGAAGGAGTTGAAGGAGTTGATGAGCGGGGACCACGGACCCCTTGGAGTACCCTCACAGACCCCCGGGGTCTGAAGACCCCAGTTTGAGAAACTCTGATCTAGACCATCCCCGACAGATGTTTGTCTAACCTGCTCTTAAAAATCTCCCATGACGGAGATTCCACAACCTCCCTAGGCAATTTATTCCAGTGCTTAACTAGGAAAGCTTCCTGTCAGGGTAATGTCCGACCTAAACTGTCCTTTCTGCAATTTAAGCCCATTGCTTCTTGTCCTATCCTCAGGAGGTTAAAGAGAACAATTTTTCTCCCCACTCCTTCTTGTAACAACCTTTTACGTACTTGAAAACTGTTATGTCCCCACTCAATCTTCTCTTTTCCAGACTAAACAAATCAATTTTTTCAATCTTCCCTCATAGGTCATATTTTTGAGACCTTTAATCATTTTTGTTGCTCTTCGCTGGACTTTCTCCAATCTTTCCTGAAATGTGGCACCCAGAACAGGACACAATACTCCAGTTGAGGCCTAATCAGCACAGAGTAGAGCAGAAGAATTACTTCTTGCATCTTGCTTACAATACTCCTGCTAATACAGTCCAGAATGATGATTTTTTTTTTTTTTTTTTTGGCAACAGTGTTACACTGTTGACTCATATTTAGCTTGTGGTCCACTATGACCTCCAGGTCTCTTTCCGCAGTACTCCATCCTAGGCAGTCATTTCCCATGTTGTATGCATGCAACTGATTGTTCCTTCCTAAGTGGAATACTCTGCCTTTGTCCTTATTGAATTTCATCCTATTTACTTCAGACCATTTCTCCAGTATGTCCAGATCATTTTGAATTTGAATCCTATCCACCAAAGTACTTGCAACCCTTCCCAGCTTGGTATCATCCACAAACTTTATAAGTGTACTCTCTATGCCATTATCTAAATCACTGATGAAGATATTGAACAGAACCAGACCCAGAACTGATCCTTATGGGACCCCACTTGTTATGCCCTTCCAGCTTGACTGTGAACCGCTGATAACTATGCTGGGAATGGTTTTTCAACCACTTTGCACCCCCCTTATAGTAGCTCCATCTAGGTTGCATTTCCTTAGTTTGTTTATGAGAAGATCATGTGAGACAGTATCAAAAGCCTTACTAAAGTCAAGAACACCTCATATCCTGTACAGGCACAAAACAGCGTTTCTCCAGGCGCTTGGCCACTGGCGGTCCTGTGGCCGGTGTATCCGAAATGCCTCTTGTTGGTTCAAGAAGTGCATCATTAATTGGGAGGGACACCCTCCTAGAGACAGAATGCTGGAGATTGTCCACTCGTTTATGTATTATGGGTATTCTCCTGGAGAAACACTGCCTGAATACCCATGGATGTGGCCACCCAATGTAAAAGGTCCTGGTATCCCTTAAAGTGTTCTGGGATGGAAGGGGAGGACACACCAGGCAGCACCGCATCATCCAGGGATGAGGCCCTTAGTTGAGCCACAGCCGGGTCTTACTCCTGGGATAATGTATCCAGATGAGGAAACTCTGGAGGCTCTGCAGGAAGGGGAACCTTGGGTGCCTGGGCTTGTAGCTGATCCACAGCAACGAATATCAATCGGATGGGTGATCTCACCTTTGATTGGGACGAAGAATGAGGGCTCTGAGAGTCAAGAGCTTCCCACTGAGTCCTGGGGCCCACTCGTATGGGTAAGGTATTGGTGGCCAGTAGGCGCTGGGTGCCAGGGCCTCCATCCCAGCCTCAGGGTACATGCCAACCCTTGTAGACTTACAGGTCCACTGGACCTCCTCAGGTGATGTGGAGTGGGAGGATGATGATCCTGACTCTGAAGCACAAGAGCCCTGTGCCTCAGTGACATAGGCGGAGCAACTCCGGAGGAAGCCAAAGGGCAATCCCACCCATCTGTTGCCCAGAAAAAGGATGGTATTGGCACTTCCTATGAAGCCAATATTGCCAGTACCAAATATACTGGTGCTGCAGGCAAGGTCAGTCCAGCACAAACAGTGGTACTGGAGCACCTGACTGCATTGACTTTGAGGGTGGTGACAGCCACCATGGAAGCATCTGTAGTGTTAATTGCGTCAGTGCCAAAGAGGGTCGCAGTACTGAGGGGTTCCCTGTACTGAGTGCGGTGCCAAGGGGCCACAGGATTCAGCAGCACATTCCATTTGGGAGGCTATTGAAGGTGCCAGTCTTGAAAAGTCTTGAACCCAGTAGCCACTACTGAAAGGCAGAGTAGGTCTGCTGCAGCTTGGTATGCTGACGTCACAGATATAGTCAGTACCAGCATCACCCCTGTCAGTAGAACTCAACAGACACCTGGAGGCCAGATCCAGAGTTGACAGTACAGGGTTTCTGACCTCCCTACTTGGTTCTGAGGAAGGATCAGAGGTACCCACACCATCCCACACACTGGAGCGAGTCCCATGCTGGTCCACACTCCTCTTACAGGAGGCAGAAGAGTCACGCCATGACCTGAACACTCACAATTGGTCTTATGAGACCTCTTCTTTGGTGCCGATGACAGAGAACAACTTCAGCACCTGCTCCAGTACAAGTAGCAGCTGCACTTTGAGCCTAAGGAGGGCCTCAATACTGGGTGTGGCTGCATGGCCTGTTCAAGCAAATGCTGCTTGAAGCAAAGGTCCCACGCTACCTGCGTCCTCTTTCTGAGTAATCTACAGATCAAACAATGCTATTCAAGGTGGGCTTTGCCAAGACAGAGGAAGCACAGTGTGTGGGGGATCACTTTTGGGAATTGCCACTGGACACAAAGGGCAATGCTTAAACGTCAGTGAGAGCATGACTGGGGAGAACTATCGCTAACACTATATTCTATAACTTTTATTTTAAACTAACTAACTAGGCTAAGAAAGGATGAAAAAAGAGTTGGCCACCTTTCATAACTGCTGTTCTTCAAAATGTGTTGCTCATGTCCATTCCAATTAGGTATGCACGCACCGCGTGCACGTCAGCTGGAAGGTTTTTCCCCTAGCCGTACCCTTCAGGTCGGTCCAGGCACCCTGCGCGATCGCACCTTCATTGTGCTGAATATACGGCCCTTCCAACCCGCCGCCACTTCAGTTCCTTCTTGCCAGATTGCTCCGACAGGAGGGTGGGTGGGTAGGTATTGGAATGGACATGAACAACACATCTCGAAGAACAGTTACAAAAGGTAGGTAACCATTTTTTCTTCTTTGAGTGATTGCTCATGTCAATTCCAATTAGGTAATTACCAAGGCTAAGTTTTGGAGACGGGATCAGAGCTCAAAGGTTTGCAGACTAAAGCACCACCCTATCAAAGGCTGCATCGTCTCTAATCTGATGCATAATAGTGTAATGTGAGGTAAAAGTATGTATAGACGACCAAGTCGCAGCTCTGCAGATCTCGTGTCGGAACATGGGCCAGGAATGCTGCTAATCCTCCTCATGGAGGGTGCTGTCCACAGAAGGGCCAGTACCTTCACCAAATCCTAGCAAGCCATGATACAGGATGTGATCCACGAAGAAATCCTCTGGGAGGAGACTGGAAGCACTTTCATTCTGTCTGCTACTGCGATAAACAGCTGAATGGATTTTGTTCACTCGATATAGAACGCTAACACCCAGCAAACGTCCAATGAGTGAAGTTTTTGCTGCCTGCTGCTTGAGTATGGCTTAGGATAGAAAACTGGGAGCAAAATATCCTAGTTAACATGAAACTGGGAGACAACCTTAGGGAGAAAAGCTGGATGCGGTCTGAGCTGAACTTTGTCCTTATAGAACACTGTGTAAGGAGGCTCGGACGATAGGGCCTTGAGCTCAGATGCCCTCCTGGCCGACGTTATTACTACCAGAAACAGCACCTTATATGAGAGGTACAGCACATGTCTCCAGCAGTTTGAAAGATGGCCCCACTAGTCTGGAAAGGACCAGATTAAGGTCCCAGGCTGGAACCGGCTGTCGAACGTGAGGGTACAGTCGATCAAGGCCTTTTAGGAAACGACTAACCACGTGGTTGGCAAAGACTGACCGGCCCTCTACACCTGGATGGAAGGCAGAAATGGTGGCGAAGTGAACCTTTATTAATGACATGGAATGCCCTTGCTGTTTTAGGTAGAGAAGGTAGTCCAATATGATAGGTATGGACACGAGCGTTGGAGATGGGAGGTATTGCAAAGACGAAACTCTGACTCTCTTCCATTTGGCCAGATAGGTAGCCCTAATGGAGGGTTTCCTACTGCTAAGGAGGACTTCCCTGCCTGGACCCGAACAAGTTAGCTCCATCCAGTTTAGCCATGGAGCTTCCATACCGTGACGTGAAGCGATTTGAGGTTCGGGTGCTGGAGGCGGCCGTGATCTTGGGTTATGTCCAGAAGCAGTGGTAAGGTGATATGGGTTTCCACGGACATTTGCAGGAGGGATGTGTACCAGTGCTGGAGAGGTCAGGCTGGAGCTATCAATATCACTGAGGCCTCATACCTTCAGACCTTGAGGAGCACCTTGTGAACGAGAGGTATCGGAGGAAATGCGTACAAGAGGTGTCCCTTCCAGGGAAGGAGGACCGCGTCCACGATGGAGCCCGGGCTGTGATTCAGGATGGAGCAGAATTGCAGGCACTTTCTGTTGCAACGCGTGGCAAATAAGTCTATCTAGGAAACCCCCACTGTTGGAAGATGGTATTCACGACATCTGGGCAAAGGGACCGCTCGTGGCCATGAAAGTACCTACTGAGATAGTCCACCAACTCATTCTGTACTCCGGGGAGGTATGACTCCTCCAAGTGTATTGAGTGAACTATGCAAAAGTCTGAGGGCTTCCTAGCACAGGGGAGAGAAGCGTGCACTCCCTCCCCCGTTTATATAAAACATCGCCATTGTACTGTCCATCATGACCAATACATATTTCCCTTCCAGATGAACTTGGAATGTCTGGCATGCCAGACAATCTGCTCTCAGCTCCCTGACGATGTGAAGTCCTGAGATCTCCCAGGTGCACACTCCACCCCAATGCTGATGTGTCCATCACCAGCAAGAGGGATGGCTGTGGTCTGGTGAAAGGAACACCGGCATCACCGCCTGCGGGTTGAGCTACCACAGGAATGAGTCGAGGACCGGACGAGGAAGAATGACTATCTTGTCTAGACCGTCCAGAATCGGCCAATACACCAAAGCCAGCCACGCCTGAAGAGGCCGGAGTCTCAGTCTGGCATGCTGTACTACATAGGTACAAGCAGCCATGTGTCCCAGAATTCCTTGCTGTTGCAGTAGGGAACAGCCTGAGACTTTGTATAATGTTGCACAGAGACCGGAAATGCGACTCCGGGAGGTACACCCTCGCCTCTGTAAAGTCTAATACCGCCCCTATAAACTCTATCCGCTGAATGGGGTATAGGGTTGACTTTAGTTGAGGTATGGAAACACCTGCACCTGGCACTTGTGTAGGAATGCAGCCACGACTGCCATGCACATGGTAAACACTCGAGGAGCCGCTGACAGGCCGAATGGGAGGACAGTGAACTAATAATGATTGTGGGTCACCACAAACCTGAGGAATCTTCTGTGGGATGGTGTTATCAAAATATGAAACTACGCACCCTTCAAATCGAGGGCGGCATACCAGTACCCCGGATCCAAGGAAGGGATAATGGAAGCCAAAGAGACCATGCGAAACTTCAGTTTCTTCATGAACTTGTTGAGATCTCGCAGGTCTAGGATGGGCCTGAGGCTGCCTTTGGCTTTTGGTATTCGGAAATACCGTGAATAGAACCCCTTGGCCTTCAGCTCCTGAGAAACCTCTTCCACTGTCCCCAGCGTTAGGAGCAAGTACACCTCCTGCATGAGGAGTTGCTTGTGAGAAGGGTCCCTGAAGAGGGATGGGGAGGGAGGGAGAACTAGAGGGAGTATCCCATTTCTACCATGCAGAGTACCCAGCAATCCAATGTAATTCGAGCACATGCAGGGTAGAATTTGGACAGTCGGCACAAAAAGATGAGGTGGGATGGATACGCAGTTCAGACTGATGTGTCGCTCCCGGGTGCACCTTCAAAAGTTCTGCTTCTGGCCAGAGGATTGTTTTACCTGATCAGAGCCCTGGGCTGACAAAGGGTGAGGTTTTCTCTGTTACTTCTATTCCACCTTCGAGAAAAATCCTGCCTGTTTTGAGGGTGGTAAAAACGAGGTGGGGGCTGCGGCTTGAAATGCCTCCGTAGCCAAAGTGTGCAGGCCAAGGGACTTGAGGGTGGCCCTAGAATTCTTGAGGCTGTGAAGTCGCAAGTCCATTGTTTCTGAAAAGAGGGTCAAGCCCTCAAAAGGGAGGTCCTGGATGGTTTGTTGGACCTCAAACAATAGACCTGTAGTCAGGAGCTCCTTCTCATGACTACCCCAGAGGCCATAGTGAGAGTGGCTGAGTCCGCAACATCAAGGGCTGCCTGCAGCAAAGCCCAGGCAATGAGCTTGACCTCCTCTAACAAGGAAGAGAACTCTGCCCTGGAGTCTTGCGGCAACAACTTCCTAAATTTTTCCATCGCTCCACAGGAGTTGTAGCTGTACCTAATGAAGACAGAGATAGAACAGATTTTTTTTTTCCCTAAAGAAGTCCAGCTTTTTGGCCTCCTGGTTTTTCGGGGAGGGTCCAATAGCCTTGGTGCTCCCATTCATTAGCTGCTGCGACGACTCGGGAGTCCGGTGGGGGATGTGTGAAAAGGTGCTCGAACCCCTTAGAGGGAATGAAATATTTCTGCTCATTCCTCTTCACCATTGGTAGTAAAGAAGCGGGGGTTTGCCACAGCATCTTGGTGGCATCTTGGATTGTTCTGATGAGCTGCAAGGCAATACAGGAGGGACCAGAGGGAGCGAGAATGTCCACCATAGGGTCTGTGATCTAGACGACCTCCTCCGCCTGGATGCCCAGGTTCTGCGCCACCCGCCCCAGCAGCCGCTGGAGCACCCTATTGTCCTCCAGGATGGGGGCTGTTGATGTTCCCGCCACCATCTCATCAGGTGAGGATGAGGCCCTAGCTGGGAGTGGGTCCTGTTCCCGGTCCTCAGCACCGAGGGGATCATGCAGTGTCTGGTCTTCTGGTGAGGTTGATGTCGGTGCCAGTGCAATGGGTGCTGCAGTGCCAGTGCTGGCATGGCATACACTAGGTCCTGCCTATGGTGAGGTTCCGGAGGCACATTTGAAGCTGAGGCCATCGACACCAACCTAGAGTAGGACCTCTGGCTCTGATCCTGGTGGAACGCCCAGGGGGTCGAGAAAGGGCACTGGGCGAGGGCCTGCCACTGACCAGGACATGGCACCGGGTGAGTCTGCTGCTGCCCACGTCTGTTGGACCTGGATCGCCTGCTCCTCCTGGACCTGTAAGGATTCCGCTTCCGACTCTGAGGACTCTCTATACGAGGACCACAGAGCAGCGGTGCCCCACGATGCCGGGGAGCGGTGCCTGGAACTCGGGTACCGGTGCGGTTCCCCTATTGGTCCGCTGGTGGGTTGCACCCGGTGACCAGTGCCAAGGCGATGTCAACCGGTATGGTAGCATTGCCGGTTTTCCTCTGGACAGCACAGAGGGTCTCACGGGTGCCACTGAGACTGAGCCCAGTGTCCTGTCTCGCCTCGGAGGGAAAGGCAGCACCATAAGGGCAATGAGGCCTTTGCTGCCTCGAATGCCTCTGGCATGGAAGGCAACTGGAAATCGCGTTCCTCCTGGAGAGGGGAGTGCTGGGGGCCCGGACTCGACTGTTCCCATGCTGGGGCAGGAGTTGATGTGACCCTAGTCGGTGGAGCCGAACTCCCGTGGCCCGATGCGGGTCTCACAGTGGTGGGCTCCTTCTGCACAGGTCTGGGCGTGGGGGAGCGGCCCCTTTCAGGTCTCCTCTTCTTGTGCGGCACCAGGGATTGAGAACAGTGCTGCCCACTGCCCTGTGTGGAACCCCTATGTGGGGACCCCTGCTGGTACCGAGGGTCTCTGGCAGAGTCCTTCCTCGGCGCCAACTCATGCCTTGTCGGTGCTGGCTCGCTGCGCACCAATTCTGAGGTGCTCAGTGTCAGCTCCGAGCTGGGATCCGAGTGGGGATGTAGAGCAGCCTCCATTAGCAGGA